TCTCCCTTCTTCTTGCACAAATTTCCAAATTTTGGCGCGTCAAATCCAGCCATTCAACCAGTAATGGCTCCTTCCAAATCATCGACGCATTTAGATAAATAAATTAATAGTGGATAAATTAAATTGAACTTACATGATAAATTCAGCTGCGACTTCGCTTTTGAGCTTCCGGTGTCAACCTATGGCTGCGAAATGTGAACCTTACGCCTGAAAGTTATTCATACACTGCAGACTACCCAACTCGGTATGGAAAGATCAGATGACGAATGAGCAAAAGCACAGACAAGTCTTCGATGTCATTACCGGTGTGAAAAAGTGACAGTGGCAATTAGCGGAATACACTGGAAGAAGAACTGACTGTCGTTTAACCAGAGATATCACGCTGGATTACAAGAGAGTAAGAGGTAGGTGAGAAGAAAGATGCATGGCAGGAAGAGGTGAAGAACCTCGCTGGGTCAAGATGAATAAAAGGGAAAGGAACAAAGGATTACGCCAACGTCTTGATAGGTCCTCATCCAGCTGTAGAATTAAAATGGCTGATGATGATGGCAAATTACATAATGATAAACACCTTAGGTCGATAATATTTCCTCTTCCACTTGGCACCTCTGCTATCGCATGCGTGACAGCCAGGCGAACCAGGAAAGTGCCACGCGCTGCAATTTGAAAAGCTGTACGATAAACAATTCAGAAGAGGACAACGTAGTACTTTGCATCAAGCCATTCATTGCATCTGTCCCTGAAGTTAAAAATCACCCACTCGAGCTGCCGTCACACACTTCGCAGCCTAGCCATCATTCCTTTTATGGATGCACATAAATCTGAAGAACAGTACACGTATCTGTCCAATAAACCGTTCATTGGGGTCGTTTAAGAAATAAACGATTCTCGCGTCCGTTACACGACCTTCGGGCCCGGTAAGCGTTCTCAAATCATTGTAAATCTTTTTTACCAAATCCATCTGTTAATAGTTTTAGTAGAATTTAAAACTGACCGTTACAGTGAAAAAGCGATTTGAAGCAGCATGCTTGAAAATCAATGGAATTGACAGAGCCATGTGTTTGTAGTATCACAATTTCGAGGTAATTCAGCAGAGAGGTCTTCTGATCTCACAGATTGCAGTATAAAAAACAAAGAAATATTTACGACGCAAACGTTTCAGCCGAACTGGCATCATCGGGAAATTATGGCCAAAGTTTTTGTAACGATCGAAAGATTACGGTTTACTAAAGATGTTTCTGGTTTTTCGTGCCATGTTGCAACCGTTAAATCGAAAGTTCGATCAGGCTTAAGGTCATTTGTGGCATAATATTGATGTGAGATTTCTTACTTTAATCTGAACAGCACTTATGAATGCGTTCAACTACAGAAAAATAGCAAAAAGCACGGTTTATTAATACACAATACAAAAATCAGTCACCCGGAAAAGTCTCATCGCTCAGAAGTATTCAATCAGCAGCAGGGACCAAACGCTTGCCATCTAGTTCCAAAACTACCATCCGCCTCGAGGAAGCCAACAAGATAAACCTTTGCAAGTCTAAGAACTTTTTATTCTAAAGAAGGCCAATGAGACATGAATTGAAACGTCGGCATTGGTCAATTATCCGACTGACCATATCAATTTGCATCGTGTATTAATAAACCGTTTTATGCTGGTTTCCTATACGACCACCAAAGCACGAACGAAATTCTGTCTCTTTTCGACTACCTGTTAATTGCTCAAGTCTGGAGCTGAACCCTGACTGGGCAGCATTTCATAACTCAATGGCAAAAAAATACTTAAAGTTGGAGTTGGGTACGAGCGTTCGATTACAGGGCAAAGCCTGCGTTGTTCTTCTAGCAAAACTCTTCTCATCGAAGAAGGTCGAGTCTGGCAGGCAGCATGGCACTTGATCCATCGGCAAGCCGCTCCCGTCTGTGCTCCGACGCGCATGTGCGTGTGTGCAGTGCGTAGTTAATCCGGAGACGTCAGATCGCATGGCGAGGTTGCGCCGCTGTGCTAGGTGACAATTTATGAGCACCATTAGGGCGATTCAGCCGGTCCACGAAATGAGCCTAATAAATTAACCGTCGCCTC